GAAACTCCTGCAGAGGCAATGGAAGCCAGGTAGGTGCTTGTGTTTCTAAAATAACACCTGGTTCTTCTGCTTAGGCAGCAAAATTCACTCTACTCTTTTCCCCCACTCCTCCCTAGCCTCAAGGAGTGTCTTTCAGTATTTCCTTAAAGCTGAATCCACTGGAAAATGTATCCTTTGTCTTAACTTAGACTGCACTTTCATAGCAGCTATCAAAAGGAATGAAGTTCGTATAATCACTTTTTCAGTGTGTTTTCATACGAACACATACATCATTGTCCGTACACGTTTTCCATTTAACAACTTTTGAGCAATTTCAGCCAATTTGACAGCTGAACACTGGCTTCAGAGTCATTAACAATCTACAAGGGTCATGAAAGTAAGCTAGATAAATGACTCTATTAGTTCCCTGACAAGAAAAAGTGTGGTATCAATTTTATTACAGACACTGAAGAGCCACATAACAGAGAACTAATAGAAGCACTCCAGCAAGAAAAACTTCATCTAGAATTAGATACTCCACAAACACATCAAAGCCCACCCATGTGAACATAGGCTTCATCAGTTTCACAGCTCACAGATTTATCCCAGCTTTTATCACACTTCCACAGCCATTTTTAATAGCATATGCCACTCAAGCAGCATGGAAGTTGGACGTGTGTAAGAAACTAGAAAGTTTAAAGACCATAAACCAAACACAAAAGCAAGGGTACGCAGGGGTAGAGAATACCTTACGTTTTCATTCTAACATATATTCAGAGAGCAAATCTGAAATATCAATAATGAAAGAAAATGTGAGAAAACACATGGCATAATGTTTCTATCTGAACTGAGAGAAATTTTCACAAGAAATCATATATATCCTACAAAAATAACACTAAGTAGCTCAGTTTTGACTCATCTAACAGCTTGTGAAGGCAATTCTGGTTCATTCAACTTTTTTTCCATGCTTGTTTTAATGGCTACTGCCAATCTTTTCCTTGGTTAACAGAATAACTTGACACTCTAAATTAATTTTGTATGTGGCTTGTTTTATGCTACATAATTGTATGGGAACTGTTAGGTTACAGACTGAACCAGTGATTGGACACCAAGTGAAGGGGGCATAGCCAGATTTGGAAGCAGAGGTGGGAGCAATTCAGCTGTGTGGCAGGAAGGGATGGACTCAGGGCCCATTCCTCCCTAACCTCATTGAAGAGCTGACAGCCACAAAGGAAGTAGCTCTACCTGGAGATTTGGCTCTACTTGGAGATTGCTTCCTATGGAATGTTTGACAAGCCCTGATCCTTGGGAAGGAGTAAGCAATTCCTTCTTTCTTTCTGGATTGTGACTGCTACCTTTCTTGAGTGATCTGAAATTGGTTTAAAGCAGCTATATCTGCTGCCTCCTATCCTTGCAATAACATATCCAAGTGTCCATACACATGATGAAGTACCTGCATGTTGTCTACATTTTGCAAATGGAACAGGTATCCCAATGAGACTGCTGCTTACGGGTCTAGAGGAATAAGCAACCAAACACTTCTTAAAGATTAATTTCTAAGATAATCCATACAGAAGTTAGAAAATGTCAGAATTAGCCTGTTAAATTTTATGTCAATGTATTATGGCACTGTATTTAATGTCGTGCTGTCACATCTCATATTATTCCCAGGGAACTCATCTTGTGCACTCACTAACATTGGCACACTTTCAGAAAGCCATAGAGCTACAGTTTATTTTGTATCAGCAATATAAGGAATTTTTCAAATTTTTCAAATTACCATTTTAATAGGATTTAACTGACCCTAAACAAAGAGATGACCAGTCCCTATGCCTAAAAGGCTGAGATATTTATGTAAGCCTTCTTTTAATATGGGTTGCTTCGAGTATCACAGTAACTGTTTCCTGAATTTTGAGCCAACATAATTTCATACTTTTGCGTACAGCAGAATTTAAGGGGGTAACAGAACAAAAGATTTGAACTGGATCTCATAAAATTGATGTAAAGTTCAGATAGTAGTAGCAATATCTAATACAAACATTTCCTTCAGAACTGTACTATGTGCAACAGTTCTACTTTAAACATGGCATTCATAGGACCAGATACAATTAGTGGAACACAGTAACTCCTATGGATAAATAAGATTAACTTAGAACCAGAATATATAAATTGTAACAATAGAATGATACATTGAGGAAACAGAATGCAACAAGCAGAAGAAAGGGTGGGGATGTGAAACACGTGTAAAGATTTTCATTACAAAGCATTACAAAGCTATTTGTTATTTCTTTATACTGGAATACTTTATTTGATCTTCTACCCCTGTTCTTAGTTGGTTTGTGAAAGGGAGAAAAACATGCTGAAGAGCTCATTCTTCTCTGATATGCTGGCTGTTTAGTCTCCCGCATACTGGTCTCTTAGTAGAAACACTCATCAAAATAACTCAGAATTTGAATGGATAGAAGCCTAAAGACATCCTATATGATTTTATTTATCTAAGCATATATGTGGTAATGAACTTCGATCTTCTACTACCCAGATATTTTAAAAATCAGAAAAATAGAAATGCAACACATTTTACCTTAATTTGCTATTTCAAGCAGACAGATTTCACTTGAACTCTTATTCATGTACAAAGAAATCCTCTGGAACAACTATAAATTCCTTATCATGAAAGGATACTATCCTATATACCATATAGGATACTAGAAGCAAAGGTCATCACCTTTCTTCATCCTATTGTCCCCTTACTGTAACACAGTGCAAGTAAAAAGAGGAGATAACCTTCGATATAGTTAAATTCAAAGTGCTAGAAAGCAAGAAATGAAACGAAATCCCAGCAACATGCCATTAGAAGGGCCTGCTTAGTTAGCCAGGAGACAAAGGTAACCTGGTCAAAGGTAGCTTTTTGGTGAAGAATTTAGATGATCTGGTGAAAATCTTAGCTGATAAAAGACTCAAGTAGATGTTCACGTTGATTTTCCTTTGGGAAAGGCTAAGTTTTCCTGATGTTCCTGTCAGGGCATTTATATATTTATATATTTATGTTGAACTGATCAGAGCATAAGCATTATCTAGTACCAAAAGCTTGATGGGATTCTTAATTGTTCTACTCTTGCATAGCAAAATCCACAGTGAATTTCAATAATTAGACTGACAATGTAAGCATAGCTAGCTTGCTCTTAGTCATCTCTTGAAAAAGAAATTGCTGCATCTCATGTGGTTGCCTTGGCAATCCACAATTTAACTTATTTTTTAAACACAAGTTTGCCACAGAGATGCATGCTCTGCATTACCTTCCAATGGCTCCAATAGACCACTAACAGAAGTTACATTGTTACTGATGCAGAGTAGACAATGCATGTGTAAAACAATATTTAAACGTCCTTAGCATTCAGCAAAGTGGTTTATAAAATTTACAAGGACTTGCATGCATTTCTTTGATGCTTCTTAGATTCCTTCTGTCCCAGTATCTTTTTTTTTTTTCTTTCCCAACAATAATCATTCTACATCAAATCTCACATAATGAAGCTGAACGGAGTGGCATTTTCTTTGACACAAGTAACTGTTCATATGCTGCCCCTGTGTAATGAGGCATTATAAACAAAATGATGTGTTAATAAGTTAGCACAGCTGGTATTTGGGGTTGGATCCTGGCTAAATAAGGTCAGCATAGAGAAGCATTCCACGAATTATGATGTTTCAGTTCCCAAAATATCTCTATTAGGAAGGAGATTCTCCAATGCAACTTTATCATCTTCTATCTCCCTCATATAGACGAAATTGGTGGCTGGGCACTCCTAAAATCTAGTGTTTCACGTACTTATCTAATTGACATACTGATTTTAGCCAGTTTGTGGACTCAACTGTGAAACTAATTGCTGCTTTGCTCCAGCTGCTGTTGCTACTAAAAATACATATACATTCTATTCTGTACAATAAATTAACAAAATGTAATGACATAAAGAAACAGAAGATTTTGTACTATGGAAATAGATTATCTGCAAAAGTTAATGTTGCAAACTATGCTGTGTATTGGTAACATAATATTTGAAGGAGATGGGAAAATAATTACAATTGATCACATTGGAAGGATATTTTCTGAAGCCTAGACATAGAGAATCTTTATTTTCTACTTGAAAGATAACAACAAAACTGACCTGTAACATGGGAAACAGGAAGAACAAAGTAGTGATGCAGTCAAGAATTCTATTTTTGCAGGCAGACATATTCTGGTTATTAAACACCAAGAAACAGTATCATGGTGAACAGAATTCAGCAGGAAAAGATGTTTTCAGGATTCTGTAGACCATAAGTACATGGAGTTCATGACAAATAGGAATACCTTTTCTGTGTGATGGATCATGTATGCTTATGCCAGCTGGAAAATTTGTTTTCTTAACAGCCTACAACAGAGCACTATCACTTTCTACATAATAATAAGACACACACGAATAGCTATGTCTAATAGGGATTTTCAGACAAGGCATGACATCAGGGAGAATTGTGAGCAGCAGTATATACTCAGTGCTCATTAAATCTCGTAACTATCCCCAAACCATCAAGAACTGCGTGGCTGACTCAGTCAAACCTCGGTGTCTCCAAAGCTGTCTCAGTATAATACAAAGGCCTTCTGTGCTCTCTGCAGTCCATACAAAACCACAAACCATCTTTCAGCTCAGAATACACTCATGTAGGTAGTACTGTGTGGAGCCAGGAATTGGACTTGATGATCCTTGTGGATGTCTTCCAAATCAGATTTTATATAATTTTTACAATCTACCCTACAAAACATAGCTGCAGGTAATGTGGTCAAGATCATAGTACTCAATGCTAAATCAGCAATCAGCACTACATCATTACATTTCTTTTCTGTCTCGACCATGTCTGCTTGTTAAGATATTGCCCCACATCCAGACTTCAGGTAGTCCCTACGGCTTAGTGCAAGTGAGAATTTCCTATCTGTTTTTATTTAAAGATTCCTTATTGTGAAAACATTTACTGTTTCTGTATCAACATACCTCCTGCACACGTGCTGATCTGGGTGTTGCTCCAAAAATGTTTTCAGAATGGAATTTGGGGTCTACCTCTCTTCCTTCCTGATATTCCCATGTTTGAGATGTATTCCTTCCTTTCTGGCAGAGCCACTGTGCTTACTCCTGAGAACCTGCCCATGTGCAGAAGAAGGAAGATAGAAAGAAACTGTCACTTACGGAAATGGACAGAGACATTTTGTAGAATACAGTAAAAATCTTTCATGACCTGAAAATGAGGAGACACAGGGCAACGGGATGAGAGGAAAAAAATGAGAATCAGGTGACCACATTTGCAGAGAATATCACAAATCTTAATCTACTGCTTTTTGATTTTTAAGCCCAGATTCCGTCTGCTCAAATCTCAATGAAGTATTTGTTTTGCAATGGCATTTTGAAAGACTGTAAGATCAGCATTCTTTACTTGTAAATACAAGCCTAGTATATGGGTTTTCATACATTTTTACAACACTCATTGCTTTTCTTTTGATTGTGCCTGTAAATTACATCAACTACTCAACGATAAACCCTACCATACGCTAGCATATATTTTCAATACTTCATATAAAACATCTGTGTAAGTCAGAAGCATCTAGACATATATTTGTATATACATGTGCTTGCATTTATACTATATATTAATATTTGTACATATAGCACCATTTTCTAGAATATACTGATGATTAGATGTGAACAAATCTGATGATTTCTGTGCTTGCTTTTCTTTGGATTTTCTGTTTCTTAGTTGTTTTTAGGCTGACCAAAAAACATAGATATATTAATGCCATAATGTAAGAGCTTAGGATTGATTTGTAAACAACTTCATACTGTTAAGCAAATCACTCTGTTTACATCCTTTAATCCATATATAACAGAATACAATCTACTAGCACAAATACTGAAATGTATTTGGTATCAGTCTTGGATCTACACAGAACCTGCATAAGACTGATAAATGACAGAAGTGTATACAGGAAATTTGTTTCACTATAAAGCTCATCTTCATTCTCCAGAAAATTCATAATCTCTTCTACCTGAGAATTGTAGACTGTGTGGTTTGCTGTATGTTGCCTCTGGTTATATTCAGGGAATTATCATATTTTATCATCAAACTTGACAGTGTGTACCTTGCTAAAGCACTATTTCTGAATAACACTAAAGAAATGTCTTCTGGTTGTGGGTTCTGGCAATGTAACAGCATACTTCCATACATTAGCCACCTTTGAGAACTAATAAGCTGATTAAAACATCATATAATTCATTTACATAGCCAATCTTATGCAATATACATTGTGAGTCTTGCTAAAATCCTTTATTCTATCTCTTCAATGTTCTGCTTCTGTGCATTTTGTAGCTTCTAGGTCAGTAGTAAGAAAAGTATCCTGATCAGTAAATGTGTTTTCTTTTCATGTCTTTAATTATTAAAGCATCTATGTTTGTTCTGGCAGAGTCTTTTTTTTTTTTTTTTAATAAGACTAGCACGAATGCAACCACGCAGTTGCGAACATGCATATCTATGCAGTTACAGCAAACTTTACTACCTTATTCTCATGTTTTCACATTGCATATATATGGCAATGTTCATATTGCTGTACTCCCAAAGGACAACACATCAAGTTTGTGAAATATCATATTGCAATATTGATGAAGTCTGGTTTTGATTTTTTTTTTTTTATACTTCATGGCACATAAGGGAAGGATCACCACTTCCTCAGGGAAGATCATCGCTTCTTTAAAGACACTATGGTTTGCCCATCTGAAATAAAGCCAACCCATCTGTGCTGTTTTCAAATGGATATATTTAGATTTATTTCAGAATTTCTTCTGTAAAGCCCTGTGATTCAACTGTAATAGCTGGAAGTATTCATGGAGAACACCATCATGATCACATGAGCTAAAAAAAAAAGCATTAAAATTCTAAAATATCCCTTATTTTATATTAATCACTGCATTCAAGATTACCAGTTTTTTTCTGACCATGATCTAATACATTTGCCACTGACATTTGTAGTGAGGTTTTTTGCTTCCTAACAACTAATTAACAATACGTTTCCTCCTGTTTAAGAGGTGCTTAACCAATATTATCATCAGACACTAGAAACAGTTACAACACCATCACAGAAAGAGACCCTTACTGCTCTTACAAGCAAGACATTTTTATGACTAAAGAAAATATTTTGAAAAGACAGATAATATCTATGCACATACATATATACACACACCCTTCTTAACTCTAAAATTACACTCTTTTCCTCTCATGATGCCTCTTTTAGCACTGCTGCAAGTTCTACAGAAACTGTACATGGTACAGCAGAAGATCAGCCCAGAGGGAAGAGAGTTTATCTGATTTGCAACCTGCTGCAGGGAACATGCTAAAGCAGGGGGTTGAACTCAGTGATCACCAGAGGTCTTTTCCAGCCCCAATGATTCTGTGACTGAAGGCCCTGCCACATGTGCTCTAACAGAAGCAAAGCTTTCCTTCAAAAACACAAATCATTGAAATATATCTACTTGTCAGTGGAGTAACTCTGTCTGGTAAATGTAATAAATAATCATATGTTAACAGCTGCAGGGAAAGATTCCAGTGGGAAAACATCTCAGAGGTATAATGCCAAATTCCTTGTGCATAGTTCTTTGCCTTCTACCTCTGTAGCAGTTTGCCTTTGTGTGGTTACTGCAACAAGACCTTTTTCATAGGAAAGAAAGAAGCAATTACAATTACTTACGTAGCTCTTACATAACATTTCATCAGCAGCTTTCTAGAAAAATTATGACCAGAAGTAGACAGCAGAGAAGTAGTCAATCATCTGAATTTGAACCTCATCTCCAGTCTATATAGATGTTTCTAGCTAATACAGCTTGCAAGTGAGTTTTCAAATTCAGCAGGGACTTCAACATTAAGAAAGAAAAAAATTAAGGAGAGAGGAGAAAGCTACCTGATATTTGTTGATTTTCATGTAAACAAAACATTTCATCTTACTCCAGGAGTATAGAACAGCAGGAGCAATGTAACTCTCAGAGTCCCAAAAACTAATACAAAGAATCAATATAAATAGATATATAACATTATTTCTGCATTAGTTAGAGATAAATTAGATAGGACTGGTTTTACTGTAAGGACAAACAAGAAAAAAAGACATTTGCTTATTTACCAGAATAAATAAAGCTGGTCCCTTCTCAACAGGGAGATAAAAATGTTTTGTGCTTATAATAGTTAAATATAAACAATTTTAAAAGAGTATTTTGAAACTATTCCTCACAGCTAGAACATCAGCACAGAATCAAGATAACAGTGATTGATAACAAAATTGGGACTCCATGCTATGTATGTAACATACATTCATATGTATGAAGAGATCACTGTAGAGTGCTTCATGATATTTGTGTTTTTTGTCATTGCTCTTCATCAGCCATTTTATCAGATATAGTCTTGAAAATAATTTGTGTTTCTTCATTGTCTGCTTTAGATAGACTATCAGAAAAATATATGTAATCTACAAAGCTCCCTTTCATTTTTCAAGACAATTCAAGAGCATGTTTATAACTATATTTAATGCAATTTTTAAGGTTTCCTGCCAATGCAGGTTTCCTTCCCGCTGTTCTGAAAACTAGCAGCATTTCTATACTGAAGTGGCTAGAAGATAGTCTGATGTTGACTTCAGTTTTCACCTAAATTACACAGGCTTTGAATACAGTTTTGTACTATCATAAAAGAACCAGGGTATGTCATGAATATGAAACACACATACAATAGGGCCTCACTAAGGGAAGGTGGGCCCTTTCTGCTGGACCCCTTTTGCTATCTTTAAGCTAGCCTACCTTGTTCAAAGGATGCACAGCATCCTTTGAGAGTATGGTTCAGTGGTATTTTAAGTGAGTTATGAAAGCTTCCTTAATTATATATTAAGGAATAACAAAATCTTCAAGGAAAAATGGTTACAGACTAGTTACCCCCTTTTGTCCTTAGCTTTTGATAGGAGTTATTCTAGGAATCTCAGTGCAAAACAAGGCAAATAAAGTGTTCTAATCACATCATTATTGTTGTGCATTGAAAGCTCATACAAAGAGAAGAGAAAATAGATATTTAATAATATATGCCCAGAAATTACAAAAGAAAAAAATGATAGTGGAGGGAGTTGCATGCTGTCAGAATGACTGATGAGAACTAGATGACTTCACAGAGCTGCTGAACTTCATCATGACACTCACTTGACCTCGAAGGCACTTGAATCAACACTGCCAAGCCCAGAAGACATTCTATCCTTGCAGATCAGCAAATCAAATGCTTCAACACAGAAATAAAAATATCTAATGACAGATATTTGTTTTTATTTTGTTTTACTGCCTTTTTATGGTCTGGCCAATCTAACCATTACCCCAGCTACCTGTTAATACACAAATCCAACTGGTAAATTTGTAGAAAACTTGGATTAGGTGAAACAAGTTTATAACACCTCATAGCAAAGTCATCCTTTTGAACAAAAAGCAATGGGAAAGATGAAGCAGATGCTGCTTTTGGAACACCTCCATGCTCTTAAAAAGGTAGATTTAGATCTGATCTATCTCAATGCACCAGCTTCACCATTTGCTGATTTAAAAATCAGGCAAGAAAAGATGAAAACATCTTCAAAATGAGTTTTGATAGTTTTGTCTAGCTAAAAACTAGACGGACTCCACAGCAGCTGTCACTCAAAAGCCACATGTCTTCCCACAGCAAACACTCTCTTGAAATTAGTTTCATCCTGTGAATAAATTTTAACACCTCTTACAGCAAAAACTTTGTTCTTTTTCTTCACAGCACAGCAACTATTAAAAGGCCAATAATTAGCCTTAATCTGCCTTAATATGTTTGAAGAGTAACAGAAAATCTAAGGTGAACATTTTAAAACAATTTTTCTCTCTTGCGTCTATCATTCCCAACTTCTCTTTGCTACTCATTCTCAGCTGCCATCCTTTTGAGCACAGTTCTGCTGGCCATAACAACCTGCTTTGGTTTAAACATACATGTTACTCGGTAATTTATAGACTCATAGATTCCCTTAATTGGTTTGCATTGTACCTGTGGTGAACATTTTCTTATCTATCACTCAAGAGACATTTTGTACCTGCCCTGCAGATGTCCTGAACAAAGTGA